GAGCATCATTTCTGATGCCGGCCCATCACAAATGTGCTCCTTGATGATCTTCTCAAAGAGTTTCCCCAGGATTGAGGTAAGACTGACGGGCCTATAGTTGCCCGGGTCCTCCCTCTTCCCCTTCTTGAAGATGGGGACCACATTTGCTACCTTCCAATCATCTGGCACCTGGCCCAAGCACCACAATCGCTCATAGAGCCGTGCCAGGGGCCCTGCAATAACCCCAGCTAGCTCCCTCAACACCCTGGGGTGGAGAGCATCCGGATCCGCTGACTTGAACGCGTCCAGCCCAATACAGAAGTAGATGAAACAAAACAGAAAAAAGTCAGTCTTCAAGCTGCAGTAAGATGCATCCATCAAAATGCTGGAGGCTGCTAGGATTTTGGACCAGTCCTGACCTGTTGTCCCTTTTATGTCATCAAGCCTTTGCTGCATCTGTCCCTCCCCTTCCTCTCCCCCAGCAGCAGCATGCCCAGTGATTGAGCATGCAGGCAACAGCCAGGCACTAGGAAATGCTAACATAACAGTCTGCAGCCAGGCGGTAAAAAACCTGAGGAAATGTACATTTAAAGCCAAGTTGAGTTTCTTTCTGAATCGTCTGGTGTTCTGTGCTGCTTCTTGTGGTGAATCTTTGTCTCCAGCAACTAAATTAATTGATTTTGGTCCTGCAAGCCTTCCTCAAGTAGAATTCGCCTGGAAGTCAGTCGGGTTACCAGGCCTAGAGGGCAGGGCAAGTCAGATCCAAAGCTTGTGCTTGAATTCATTAATTCTCATCTAGCAGACTTTTAAAATTAAATTAGTTGGGAAAATATACTTCATGTAGTGAATATGTCCATCAGATATTCTTTAATAAGGAAACCATATGTTTACTTAAAAGACACACAGTAAATGTATTCCTGCACCAATTTTATATGATGTATTCATTTGACTAGACCCGATATATACCTGCTTATTCTCATTGGATTAGAACTCCTCACAAAACTATTTTATGTTCATTATAATTATATTAAGAATACAGTCATTTACCAGGGTGAAACTGTGCCACAATACAGGTGCCCGCTATTGCTTACTGAGGTCTCAGCACAATTGGTGCAGCAGATAAAATGGGTGGCGTTGAAGAGTTGTCTTATCTAATCACATGCACACAATGTATGCATACCATTTCACTGAAAAAAGTACCTCCGTGGATAAGGCAACAACACTGCAAAAATACCAACTGCAATAGTGTGGTATGAAAAAGTTCTTCAGTGTCCTCTCATGCTGTACTTCCATGACTCCTTTACCCATGTAACTTCTTAATGAGTCAAAGTTTACTGATGAGTTATAGTTTGCTCGTAGTAGCTAACTTTGACTAAGATATAAAACCAAAGACTTAACCACTTGATGTTAAACAGTCCATAACTTTTTTTACAAGATTAGGGGAGTTAACTGCAATTTCCTATTACATTTTTTGATAATTTTGAATTTGTTAATTGTTTTCTTCTTTTCTAATATTCCCTTTACTTTTTTTGAAAGGATACGATTTTTTTTTTCCATCCAGTCTAAAAAGTTATGTGAGTTTGCTGTAAATCAGTTGCTACATTCCACTCAGACACGGCTGCCCTTTAGTGGTAGATTCAATTATGCTATTACTCTGATATATTTATGTACCAGTTTAAGTGTGTAAAGTGTTGTTTTAGGCTGAAAGTGGCTTTATACATGTGTATGTGTTGTGGAAGTGATTATGTAATGAGGTTATACCATTTTAAGAATAGCCTATTAATTACGATGGTGTAAACCAGAAGTTAATTTTGTATCTTGTGCCTGTGTTTTAAATTAAAAGTCCCCCATTACCTAGATGATTTCCATTTGTTTTGCTGTAGGCACTGGACTATTTGTACTTTTAGAACAAATGGGAATTACTCTACCACCTCCAAGGATGGCTGAAGTATTGAAATTCATGCTATAAGCACAGTGTTTGTAAAATAACCATCTTCTCTTCTTGATGACTACTGTTTCCTCAGTAATTGGCTCAGTATCTCTAATATTTCCTTATTTTTTCGTTTGCCAGCTAATTCCGGTTCCCTGCAAGGTCCACAGACTCCTCAATCTACTGGTAGTAATTCCATGACAGAAGTGCCAGGCGACTTGAAGCCCCCAACACCAGCATCAACACCTCATGGACAGATGACACCTATACAGGGTGGCAGGTATAGAAGACACCAAGTGCTACATTTCATGCTTTTTATCTTACTGTATAAAACTCCCCTGGAATCCTGTGTACAGTTCTGGCTGCCCAGGCTCAGAAAAGAGGGATTCAAACTAGAACTTTTGCAGAGAAAGGTTAAGCTCTCCCCGTTCCCTTGACCATTCTCCTGTCTTCTCAGAGAAAGCTGAAAGAAGTTGGCTTGTTTAGCATAGAGAGAACAATAGATGATATGGGATAACACGCCAAGAAGAAAACAAGAATGATTTAAAATAAAGGACAGTATTGGCACAAGGAGAAATGAATGTAAACTGGCACTGTGTTAATTTAGGTTGGAAATTAGGAGGAGGTCTCCAACTACTGAAGCAGTGAAATTCTGGAACTTCTTTCCAAGAGGAGTTGTGAAGGCAACAGATGGACTAGATTTAAGATTGTGTTTGATTGGTTTATAAATAAAGTTATATGATACAGTGATTGCATGAGGTAGTAGGGCATGCAGGTGATGAACATGGACTTTTCTTCCAACCCCACATTCCAATAAACCACACAAATTTGTTGAACCAAGACACGAAGCCCTTGTTCTATATGTTTAAATACATAGTACCCCTTCCCACCCTCTCTACCTCTGAGCTAAAGGAAGAATTCAGTTAGTTAAGAACATTTTATTCTCATTTAAAGGACCTTCAAATTTTTACTAAGCAGTAGCAAGCCAGAAGAGGGCACGCTTCTCATGTGTACTTCCACTGAAGGCTATAGCAGAAAAAATCCTGGTGACATCAGCAGAAGCAGCATTATGTCCCAGACTGCAACAAAATAACTTCTGTCTGTTTATCTAATATCTCTTTGGCCCACAGGTTCTCAAAGATAACTGGCTATATGGAGAGGTGGAAAGGGCTGGGACAACCATTATTTAAGTATCTGTTACTCAGATTATTTGAATTTTCTTTCTTCTTTGTAAAAATATTCTTCTTGGCCTTCAGAATCTGGGAATTATCTGGTCAACCAGCTTTCAGGCCAAATTTATAAGGGCTTTCATATAAAGAAGGCTGCAACCATAAATGTTACTACCTCTCCACAATAATGAGTGTTATGTAGGAGGTAAAACCAAATGCTGCTGTTTAGTTTTTCTCCTAATATGAGAACAAGGAGGTGCTTAGTGAAATTGAAAGGTAACATATATAAATGTGAGAAAAAGTAATACCTGTTTTACACAACACGTATAATTAACCTGTGAAATGCATTGCCTTGGGGTGTTAAGGCAAGCAGGTCAGTAAGATTCTGAAATGGTTTCGATTATATGAATTACCTTCAACTGAATTAAAAAATGTTTAAGTGAAAAGTAAAAAGCCAGCCAGAATTAGGAAGAAAGTGATTTGGTAATTGTTTATTGTTACATTCTTTGTCCCTTGCCCTGAACCATTTTGTGTTGGCAACTGTCAGAGATTGAACAGTAGACTGAATGGATTTAGAGCCTGGACTGGTAGCACAGTTCTTCTAATGTACTCCTGTGGTGTTAATTTCTCTCTTTTTCATCTGTTTAGGAACAGCGCAGTTAGTGTGCATGATCCTTTCTCTGATGTAAGTGACTCAGCATTCCCGAAGAGAAACTCCATGACGCCAAATGCACCGTACCAGCAGGGGATAAACATGCCAGATATGATGGGAAGGATGCCCTATGAACCGAATAAGGACCCTTTTGGTGGGATGAGAAAAGGTATTTATCACCTGGGGGGTCTGCATGTGTTCTTCCTAGGTTTCATCCAAACAGGACGTTCTAGTTTTGTCAAGGTGTGCTTAGTGTTGGTCTTTTTGTATACCCTCTCATCTCCTTCATCAGTGACATCATATCCCTATAGTGAAAAAGAAGGTATAAATGCAGGTATATCTAAACATACCTTTTAACCACTTTAAAAGGAGTGGGGAGCTGCTCTATACAAGTATACACCAGCTGATACAGTATAGCACTTAGGACTGCATGTACCAGTTGGCTAAACTACTGTACATTTAACCTTGAATACAAGGGAGTTAAAGTTGCAATGGTTTTGCTCCACTTGTATCATTCCAGAAGCATGCAATTGTAATAGTTGCACCTTATAATTTGAATGTTTGATACTGATACAATTGCTGTCTTCCTGTACCTTGCATCTCTCTCTTATCTGCATGTTTCCCCATCTCAGAGTCAGATTATACTATTATAAACTTCAGGCTCTAGTAAGATCTGAAAGCGTCCAGTAAGTTTGTTTCAGCAACACTCTATAGAACTTAAACCATACAGTTAAGGTTCATCAAGTTAAATGAGGAGGCTTGGACTCTTCATCCTCTAATAGCATTCTTCATAGTAAACTGTGTTGCAAAATCGGTAACATTCCCAATTACGGTAGGAGACAGTGTCATAATTCCAGATTGTGTCATGGCCATAGTACAGATTCACAGTACAGTCTTTGACAATTCTCCTGCCCTCTTTGCCTCAGTATACACAGATGTAAAATAGATATACTTTTGAACTGGGTACTGAACACGTGTGTGTGAGGTTTAATTAATTAATTGCTAAAACACTTTGAGGTCCTCTGATGAAAGGTATCTCATAAATTGAAAGGTTTTTTTTAGAAAGCAGGAATAAAAATAACATTAAAGGTAACTCCAGTCCCCTGGGCACTTCTCTAGGGCCCTTCTGGTGAATTTTAAAGTACGTTTAAAAAGGATCTTTTGAATTACTTCCTTACACCCTTGCATGCAGGAAAGAGTTGAGGGTATGAAGAGAGGCAGAGTTCTCTAGAGAGAAGAGCAGCTGGTGGAGGTGAAAGAAAGTAAGAAGCAGCAGGTGAAAGAGAGCAGGAGGAGGTGATGGAGGAGAAAAGGACAAAAAGCGGGTGAAAAGGATAAATGGAGATGCAGTGGTGTCGTAAGTTCAAAAAAAAAAGACAGTGCTGCTGATGCGACTGTTTAGAAAGGGCTCTACAGTGGGTAGAGAAGGCCCTCACGTTTCCTTTAAATCCTATACTGTACAAAGGTACAGTGGAGTTTCAGGGGAAATTGAACTGTTTTTTAACTTAGACTGACTTGGATTTCTAGGTCCACACTGAGATCAAGTTGACTTACTGCATCTCGCCACTCATTTTATACTTAGTCATAAGTGAAAATGAATCCTATGATTGCGCCTTAGTGTTTCTTGCAAAGGTGACTATGTCTTAAAACTACGTCTTCCCTCTCCCCCCATGAAACTCAGATCTGTTCTCTCACACAGCGCATTCTATTGATGAGATTGCTGCATCTGCAAAACCATTTTGAGGAAGAGGAAATTGCAGACAAAACCTGGAAACCTCTTTCAGGGTCTCTAGCATCTTCAAATGCCATCCTGTAATGCAGGGGTCAGCAACCTATGGCCTGCAGGCCAAATCCATTTGGCAAAGAAATCTGTCCAACACAGGGAATGAGTGTGTCAGAACTGATTCTGACACACTCCATCCTCCATACTCCATCCTCTGCAGTACTGCCACCACTGCCTGGCCTGCTGCTCCTCAGCACCTGAGCTTAGCTTATCCCTGCTGCACAGGGACTATGGGTATCTGGCTCCTGGCCTGCTATAATACATGTAATTCATTCTCTGATCTTCTGGAATAAATAAAACTGCTTCTCTGGTCCCTTACTGTAAGGGTTCCTGCTTCTCCCACCTGGTGTTTTTTTCACTCCTTTACCTACAAATCAAGTCTGTCCTATATCAACAGGAGACAGGAAACGGAAACATTGGTTATTTGTGAAGAAATACTATTTTTCTTTCCTTCTTTCTGTCCTGATATCTAAATTTCTTTTTAACGTTTAGTATCACAAACTAAAAAAATGAGGATAGAGCTACTTCATTCATTTATTTGGGGACTGATGTAACATAGGCTGCTAACCAAGTGTCTTTTTGGACACTTAAAATTATACCAGTCTTGCTCAAAGATCTATATTCAGGTAGAGGATCTCATTCACAGACACATCACAAGCAGTGTTTTGTGTATGTAATGTATGGGAAGGAAGCTCTATGACTACAATGTGCGACTAGGAATAGCGAGTTTTCTATGTAAGCCTTTCTGTTTTCTAGAGCTAAGTCTGAATTGGTGTATAACACCGTTGGAGTGAAAAGAGGAAATATGATTTGAGCTTGTCTTTAGGACACAAAGGAAGATGTAAGATTTCCATCTGATAAATGTAATGCCCTAAGATGAGATTCCAAATCTGATTCCCCCCCCCCCCC